GCAACGCCCCCAACAACCCTTAATTCGCGCTTCAACAATGTCTGTCGATGTTGAATTCATAGCCCCGCTCCCCACTATTCAATGCAACTGACTGTTAATCACTCAATACCGCACCATGGGGGCATCCCTAATGCTGCTTTTATGTGCAAGTGCTCTCAAAGAACAGCACGCTGCAAGTCATATTACATATCCACACTTCACTGATGTCATCAAAAGAGTGCACTTGGTGGTTATACAGTGAGGCATAGTGTGGCATTTAGGATAAAGCACAAGTTCTGTGATTGTGGTAACTTGATTGGCAACCAGGAGGTTGAGACTGGGGAGATGAGAAGGTGTCGTCATGCAGCTGTATGACTCCTGGTCGAGGAGGTAAGTCAATCACTGAACATCACACTGGACCAGTACTTGCCACAGTCTGGGTATATCTGAATTCTTTCACATAGGGGCTTATTTCCTTCCTCTCCCCTTATCCTTGATCTTGATAGAAAAGGTCACAGGGGTCAATAGTCCAGCATGATGAAACAATTGTACAGTTTTGTCTCATGGCACCAAATCTGGCACATGCATAGAATGATATATTCTATGTGAATACAGATATTGAGCCCTCTGAAATGTTTCTCATTTTCAAAATGGCTGCCATACAGTATTGCAGTTATAGGGGATGTGTCATTATCTAGATATTTGTGCTAGCAACAAGAACCAGTTGCACCAAATATTGTGCTAGTGATAGTCATGTGATCCAAAACAGTCAATATGATAGCCATTTTGACAACCATTTCAGAAAAAAAATATTCAATTTTTATCAGCATCACACAAGATCTGTCCAAGTATTGAACTGTTCATGGTACCAAGACCAGTTGTTTGAAGTCTCATATTGGGAATAGCGTGATACAATGGGAACAAGGTAAAGGTTTACAGAAATCATTGTGGTAGCCATTTTGTAAATAAATAGCACGTTAGTTACTGAGGATCCATGTTTGTAGTTTGTGCTTTTGACTTGAAATCTACAACTTCAGCTGGAGCAGCAGCAACAGTGCTGGCACTGAAAGAGTGCGAGATGTTTTCATTCTAGTTGTTCCCAAATAATTAAAGAATGGCAGTAGAAGAAATGATAAAATAATGTTAGGATAAGTGGTGATGGCGGCAGCAGTGTTGGAGGTAGTGGTAGTCATGGTTGTGGTTGCAGTAGTGGTAGTAGTACTAGTTAGTAGTAGTAGTAGTAGTGGTAATAGTAGTTGTAAGCTTTGTAGTAGTAGTACATGTGACAGGGTGGTGTATTGTTTTGGATATAATTTACCAACAATTAAGTACAGTCAAGCTAAAAAAAAAAAAAAATTGGGGATAATAATTAATGGCAGGAACCACTTTTTTCAGTTATCTGAATAATTGATTGAGAAATAAGAAAAATGACGCATACTCTCAAGTTTTTTTCTCAATAAAGGGTTATAAGTATGTAAACCATTTCAAAGTATAATCGGATAGAAGAAGTGAGTAGAACTTATTTATTAAAAGTTTTCTCCATCAATTTGAACGGACAAAATGGGGATACTTTATACTTCATCTTCTCTATGTTTTTTTTAATTCAAAATCAGTACTTCAGTCTTATTTCCAGGGGTTTGCTTGCCTGCCTCCTATTTTCACAAAGTGCCATGCTCCAGATAGCGCATGACCATACATGGAAAACCTTGAAAATGTGTAGCCTATTAGATTTAGGCTAACAAAAGTGCTTGAAGAATATAGGAATACATAATGACAAACTGAGATGGCTGGTTCCGCCTGTCTAATCAATCCATTTTCTGCTGCTTATCTGGAGCCAGGTTGTGGGGGTAGCAGACTAAGCAGAGCATGGTCATGAGCCTTTTCCAAGTCCATAGGTAAACTCCCATAGCCCCTCCAGTATCCCTGCAAGGGTTAAAAGTTGGATCACTGTTCCACGGCCAGAAAGGAACCCGCCATTGCTCCTCCTTAATCCGAGGTTTGACAGTTCGGCGGAGTCTCCTTTCTAGCACCCTGGTATAAGCATTCCCTGGGAGGCTAAGCAGTACGATACCCTTGTTGTTGGAGCACACCCTCCGGTACCCCTTTTAAAAATAAGAACCACCATCCCAGTCTGCCAGTCCAAGGATACTGTACCCAACATCCACGCGATGTTGAACGGGCGTGTCAGCCATGACAGCCCAACAACATCCAGAGCCTACAGCATCTCAGAGCAAATCTTGTCCATCCCAGGTGACTTGCCACTGCGGAGCTTTTCGACCAGGCAACATGGCCCCCAAGTTACCAGAGGCACGCAGACTCCTACACCCTGATAAGGTAGCAATTCTTGGAGAAGATCTAAAAACTTACTATCATATATTCATTTGCGGGGATCACAAGAGTTGAACACATAATAATGGGTCTGCTCAGATTTGCACAGGTATTTTATTGAATCACCAGTATCACACAGGGTCTACAATGCTACACAGAACATAGTTGATTTAATTCATGTCACAAATGCCTTTTATGCTCAAAACAGTTCGACAGGCGTGTTGAATTAAAACATCTGTTCAATCAAGTCTCCAGCTGTCCATTGAAAGAGAATAAATAACAGAAGGTCTCTAGAAGGATGATATATGGCAGGGAAATCTTCTGGATCTGCTTGGCCGTAATGACAGCAGGCAAAAATGCGCCGTGTATCTCAGCTGGCAAACGCCATACTGTCAACAACCTATGGGCTTTGATTTCACGCAATGCGTTACTACGAGCCACAAAGGACCGAGGAGAGTAAATTACTTTTGTCAAACTTGTGATAAATCTGTCATTGGGCAACCAGACAGCTGGCAGGAAAATTACATTATATAAGTGACTGTCAAAAAAAAAAGCAAAAGGCGGGGAAAGAGAGGAGGCTTTTCAATGTGTGGATGATTCATTCAACTGATGGTGCATCTCCACATTCGCTCCAAAATGTCAGTATACGTGGGCTCTCAAGGCCCATGCTCATGGGAGATCTCCAATTATTTTTTGAGTTCAAATTAATGTATTTATATTTTTTTAAATGGTTAAATCATTGCTCATTTTACGCCTATATTTTTCCTCATCGTATTTTACGGCTACTTCCTAACTTTGTTATATTTTTGTGGTGTCTCAGCTCAGCTAAAGTGAAAATGAAATGAAACTTGCTATTTCGATGGATAGATTTCTTTACTCTTCAATGTGATATTTGTACCTATCCAATGTTACGAGATTTTCTTTGCCAGCCAAGAGAGGGGCTTTCAAAACAGCTGTGTCATATTTCTCAGCAGGTGAATGTATTTGTAGTTTTTCCACAGCATAGTTACTGTAGATCTGTATCCGACGATAAACAGTCTGACTTAAATTATTAATTATTTCATGGTTGTCATTAACCAAGCTGGTTACTTTTAGTCAAAGTTTATAATGACATAAAGACTGGACATCTCGATAGCCCTTTTGGTCCATTTCAGAAATACACAATTCTCGTGTCTGCATTTTGAGTCATAAGCTTTCGATTATCCGGGTAACCACTGGCAGCGAGGGAGTATTAATGGAAATGATTTCACTGGAGAGCTTAGTATTTTAAAATTTATTGACAGTTTGATTGCTTAACAGACAAGCCAGCCAGCAAGTGTATTATTCTGCTTGATTATTCTAATACAATTAGGATTGAAAAAGTTATCTTAGAAATGAATCACCACCGCTACACAATGCTGCCAAGAAGAGCTTTTGAATCGCGTTCATTACCGACCGTCTTCTTGTATCATAATGCATGAATAAGATGCGTCTTTTCAGCTGAATGTAATGACATTGGATTACCAGAGAAAACTTGCCCATATCTGAGTGCAGGCAAGTCCCTATAGGTTACCATCAAACACATTAACCGGCCAGTGTATGTGTTGGTGGACCCCTTTTTCTGATTAGTAGTACATTAAGAAAGCCATGCACAGTAATTTGAACATCATTAAAATTGAAAATGTCAAGACTGTGGAAGGCCACACGCTCTCTATCACTGGTCTCTTGAAACGATGGAATCACGCTTATTTATTTATTTCAATGTCAAGGTATTGAATTAGGTATTTTCTCGCTATTTAATCTATATCTATGCTATAACTGCTAATGAATTTATTTTGTCTTGACTCTTTTTATTATATGGGAATCCATAAATTTTGTTCTGTTATTTATTTATTTGGTTGTTTGTTTGTTGGTTTGTTTATTGATTGATTTGTTTGTTTGTTTGCCTTTTTGATATTTGACAATATTGCGATGTGTGGAGAGTTCTGTTAGTTCAATTGGAAAGTGCCAAGGAACTCATACAAGTTTCACAATGATGGATTTGAGGATTTTGCAGCAAAGACATTTCATTTTGTTGGAATAATGACAAGTCTGACTCTTTTCTTTTTGTTGTGATACATTTTTTATAACTCCACTCTGGAGCCACAACATTTTGTTCTGCTGTGTCTCTGAGATCAATTTGAAAGACAGTAGTGCTTCATTGCAACTTTGTAAAATGTTGCTTGACAAAAGCTGACTATGGCAGGTGCAATATCACTTGACATTTAGCAAGCTTACCACATAATTCCCCACAATACCGAAGCCTAATTGCTGTTCTTTCTGTCTTGTGTTTCAAACCGTACACGGTGAATTAATGTTACCTTATATGTGGAGAGCTAGAATTCCCAGTTTGTGTTGTTAAATGACATTGGCTGAATAGACTTTTGGAAAGGCAATGCAGATATGGAGTGCAGAATCTGACAACCAAGCAATTAACTTTTCTTCTTTGGTCTGTGAAGAAAGCATCATAGCTTAATTCCTCTTCATGGAGATTAAATGGTAAATGGAATGCATTTATATAGCACTTTCTAGTCACATGACATGACCCCAAAGCGCTTTACATTTATGCCTCACATTCACCCTGATGGCGGAGGCTGCCATGCAAGGCGCCACCCTGCACATCACGAGCAGTGTGGGGTTCAGTGTCTTGCTCAAGGACACTTCGACATATTCTCTGGAGGAGCCGGGGATCGAACCAGGAACCGTCTGATTCCTAGCCCGCCCGCTCGCTCTACCCCCTGAGCCAAGCCGCCCCAAAAAAAAAAAAAAAAAAAAAAAAAGAACAGAGCATGGCCTTTTTGTCCAAAATGTGTTCTTTTCACTTGTCAACTTAAAAAAGTGCTCTGATAAACCACTAATGTACAATGCCCCAGTCATTTGAGATTTTCCCCTCCAAAAGCCAAAGCGGCCAAGACTATTTAAATATCATTATAAAAGAGGAAAAATCAATCTGAATGACTCTCAGTTGCAAAGCTGCAAATTATGGTAATCCATTCATCCATCCATCCATCCATCCATCCATCCATCCATCCATCCATCATCTTAACCGCTTTTTTTCCTCATCAGGGTTACGGAGGGAGCTGAATTGTATTCCAGGCGACTATGGCCGAAAAGCTGGTACGAACCCAGGACAACTCGCCAAGCCATCGCAGGGCGCACACACCATTCATTCACTCACATGCACATACCTATGGGCAATTCGGAGCATCCAATTAACCTTGTGTGCATGTTTTTGGACTGTGGGAGGAAACCGGGGTGCAGGGAGGAAACCTTCGCAAACACTGGGAGAACACACAAACTCCTCACAGTAAAGTATCCGGCCAGATTGGGGCCCAAAACCTCCACCCCACTGCCACACACTGCAGCACCATGCGACCAGAATTATGGTGGAGTAGCTGAACATGAGGGTGCTCATCATTCACTGCAGAATCAATGGACAGTTTCCTTATATGGAATTATTTTATGCACATAATTGTCAGGTTATGATACAGTGACTGACATGCAACTATTTGCTTTTTACTCTATCGAAGTCATTCTGGGTGGGAGAAGACTTAAATTAGTGATGCACACATCGGATGTAATGACAAGTTTCCATCTGCCCAAATGCATTAGTGGCTGAGAAATATGGGAGAAAGAGATGTAAAGCTGTCTCAGAGTTTAAAGGAAAGAGTTGAATAAGGGAGTCATTTATCCAGGGAAAATGTAATATACGGCACAGTCAGTACATATTTAAATAGTGAAACTGTATGAAAAGACTTGCAAATGCTACATAGTTCAGGCAATATGGATATAAATACGGAATCAGTAAAAAGTCAAAGATAAAATTATGCCATTGTTCAAATACTTATGGAGAATACAGCAGTGAAATAAAAGAAAAGCAATTCTACCATTCTTTATCTTTTTGTATTAGACACCCGTATCCTTTCATCAAGATTATGCATGACTTAAATATTGGAATAGGGAGGTAAATACTGTTTTGTAGACAGGTAGATTTGCTATCATTCATTTTAGCATATTAACATGCCAGACTTTACTATTATCTTCTCTTGTGCCCTGACTACTTTTGATGATGTATTTTTACTTCGAACATGGTCTTTGCCAAATATGTCAACACACTACACAACCTACATCAGTTTGTAAAATGATAAAACATTCCATTCCAACTTCACATAATAGAGAAACTTCTGCAATGATTAAAATTTCTATCAGCTGTGATGCGAAATAGCCTGGTAATTAGACTTCAGTAACCTGACACTTTCAGTGTGTTCAATGCTTTAGAGATTAATCGCTAAAGAAAGGCTCCTTAGAACGAGGCCATTATCATAAATGAACTTTATCTTTTTCCGCTGCATCTAACACACCATGTGTTTCTGAATGTGAAATGAGATGAGGAATACAAAAGCAGGTCTGTTTGATCAAGGAAGCGTGAACTCTTACAGAAACAAGACTTCCAAAGTGGATCTGGTATGGCGGTGAGTGGTACTTGAGTTCACACCCTGCACTGGGTGGACCTCTCCATGTGGAGTTGGCGTGTTTTACCTGTGTCTGCATGGGTTTTGTTCCAGCTGCTTAAGTTCACTCCCAGAGTTAAAAGACATGCTTGAAAGACAGACAGGAGACTCTCAGTTGCCTGTAATCCACTGTGCATTGTCCACATTGGCCATTTCTCAAAGCAGAGGCTGCATCCTTCAAAGCAGGGGTCTTCAATCTTACCCAAAACGGGCCAGTGTGGGTGCAGGCTTTCATTCCAACCAAATAGTTACACACCTGATTCTACCAATCAAGGTCATCAGCAAAGACTCATTGGGTTGATTAGTGGTGTCAGGTGTGTAAGTGCTTGGTTGGAATGAAAGCCTGCACCCACACTGGCCCTTTCTGGATAATATTGAGGACCCCTGCTTCAAAGGCAGCATTTTCAGGCTGCTGCGTCATTGCAGGCTGTTTCATTGTGAAGGCCATTTCAAATTCAACCAAAAAATAGAGCCTTCATTGTGTCTGATATCAGACAGAATTGTCTGCTCGTTTACACTCCGTTTCCATATTGACAGTTCCATCTGATATCAGGTGAGATGAAGGCTGCATTCCTCTGTTGTATTCTAAAATGCCTTTACAATGGCACAGCCTGCGATGACATAGCAGTCTAAAAATGCAGCCTTCAAAGGATGCGGCCAACACTTTGAGAGACAGCCATTGCGTGCACGTGCTGAATGCCCTCCAGCAGACTGGAAAAATACACAGGATGTGTCCTGCCTCTCACCCCACTGCATGCTAAGATATGCACCATTCTGCTGTGATTCTCATTAGGAATTAACGTAGAAAATGAATCAATGGACTTCAGAAGTTGTTTGATTCAAGTAAAAAAGGTGGAGTTGGGTCCTTGAAGCACTCCTGACGAACATAGTTCTTCTCCGGCTTTAACCTGTTTAATCCCTCTGGTCACATTTGCGCCCAATTATTTATTTATTTATTTATTTATTTATTTTTTTTTTACTTCTAGAAGCTCTAAAAGTGTTGCTGTCAGCTTTTGGCAAAAAAAATGCTACTTTAAACTTAACCATCATGAAATAAAAAAATACATACAGTTTATGTGATAGGGAGGTCTAAAAAGTAAAATGCATGCATTTGCATTGCCAGGAAAAATTTGGGATTGAACAGGTTAATCCGCAAAGACAAGAAAGTGACAAATTTAACATTGTACGACTTTGTCCCCTGAGTTGTTTGCGGTAGAGGACAGATATATCTCCATCGTCAATGCTCACAGATACTTCACACAAAGAAAAGTGGGAACAGTGTGCTGCTCTCTTAAGTGCCCATTAACTAAAGGCAACTTAAATTCAAATTCTGTCTGTTTCAAGTTATGCTAATGGCAGATGTAATTAAATGCATCTGTGACCTTTTTCTGTGTTGTAACATGAGTCACTTCAAGCCGAGCAATACATTGCTAGCCTAGCCATGGATCATTCATTGGTAATTTGTCTGAATATTCAAATGTTCAATAAAGATTTTTTTTTTTTGTCCAGGGGGAAAGGAAAATAAATGCAGATTCCATTGCTGTAGTGTGATGAGCTGTCACATTTTTTCCATGGTTATTTTCTCCGTAATTCTTTCACAATATGGATTTGCCTCTGGGGGTGAACATCGCTACTCATGTGGTGTATCCCATAAATGCAAGCACCGCCATAAAATAATAAGGAAATGTAATTAGAAATAAATAATGGAAAATGTATTTGCATGAGTCTGGACATGCATGCCAGCATAACTTAATGTACTGTGATGCTCAATAAATCATTCCGTTAGAAATTGCATTTGAACGGGTGTGTGTGCACATGTAGTGTAACCTCACATTTTGAGTATGTTCATATACTTTACCTTCACATTTTGCACACTGTAATCAACCCAAATTCTCATGCCTCTAAAACATACAAATAAATAACTAAATAGTATACAATGTCTTTGATTTTATATAGCTACCCTTTAGTTTTTTTGATTGTTTTCATTTTAGATGAGTATAGTTCATTTCTATGAGTACAATCACACACACACACTCAAGCACGCACGCACGCACGCGCGCGCACGCCAGTGGGCATCCATCTTTGTCTCGCGTGTGGTCTCACAGTCAGGTGTAATCTCAGATATTGCGCTTTACACTGCTCAGTGCAATTACCACCTACTGGGCTGTGGGTACACAGGCCTGTATTGCAGCAATATCCTGTCTGCTGGAAGTCATTTCGCGTTGTAAAAATACACACAGCAGTTTTGAAGAGAAAGTGTAGCTCTGAAGAGAATTTGTGGCTGCTGAAGTCTTTATGGCAAACTTTATTAACGAATATGACTCAGCGGCTGAGCAGCACGCCTTTTGCTCCGTTTCATAGACTGGCCCTTGGAAATTCTCAAGTACCTTGTAATAGTGCGGTGCAGTATGTCAGACAGGAGTCACACAAATGCTATGGGGGACAGCTGGGTGAAAACAACATTTTATTCACTGTATGTTATAGCAGTCGCGGGCAGGTACATAAACATTGATAAACCATAAGTTGTGCAGTTCAAATGGAGGGGTTGTAAACCTTTTGTTTGGATCCTCTAATGAGACAAACTCATAAGAATTGTCCAGTAAACCTGAACGCAGATTCTTTACTTTTGAGGGGTGATATAAAATGTGTTATGTTTTGTGCTTACATATGGAGTAAGCACAAAGACCGGCTTTATACCCTCTATTTGGATGCTGGCAGGAGGGTTCTTAATTAGCATTCATGCAACAACAATGTAGCAAAGTATAGAACTATCATAATATCTGGTCACTACTATAGTGTACACTAGGAAGTGCAGGCCGACTTATCATAACAAATAGCAGCACAAAATTGACGTCTTGATAGCTCTTCCAATGCATACTCTAGCTTGCAAGCTCTTACTAACAGAATTCGCTCACAGTGATTTTGGGTGTTTGAGAACAGGCGATGGTGATAGTGGCAGAATTTGGGCTGCCAGTAAAGATGGCTGAAGAGAGGTGACTGCAGTTGGGATGTCTGGTCCCAGCTCAATGGACAGGCTTGCAGGACACAGGTGGGCACTAGTATCCCAAGTACACGGTTATAAACTGCCTGAATTTAACAGTTAAATTAACGCAGTGTTTCCTGGTTATTCTAACTGTAAGTGGAATCCTGCGCGCATTTAACTGTGGTTTACAATTAACATACACGGAACTCTGTTGTAAACCTACTGTTAAATTACAGTTAAAATAATTGGTGCCAGTTAA